ACCCACCTCCGCCTCCCAAAGTGCAAGGATTACAGGCATGAGCCACCTTGACCAGCCTGTTAATCTTAATGTTAGCCAAGACAAACCCCAATTCAGTTACTTACCTAGGAGTGAGTCTCAGGTTCTCAGGCTGAAAACGTCTATCATCCTAGAAGCAGGAAAAAACTCAAATTTGTCTTCCCTGCTGGAAGGGAGCTCAAACTCCATAAAACTTCCATTATCATGGAAGCAGGAAAAACTTGCATTCCTTGTGTTGGAAGTTAAAACTCCCCCCAAAAAAGGAGTGGTACAGCAAAATAAACTTTAGATCTTGACCAAATTTGGGGTGATCAGGGATTCTCTGGAGGGGGTGCTTCCAGACCTCAGCAAATTATCCTATTGGTTTGAGCCATAAAGATAGCTCAAGCTGGTACCAAGCACTTGTTAAAAGAAAAACTTCAGCTGAATTAAATTTAAAGAAATTTAATTGAGCAATGAACGATTTGTGAATTGGGCAAAAAGAGCACTGTAACATGCCCAGTGGGGCTTCCAGACTCATAGGCACCCCCCTACCCAAGATGAACGCACAAAGGTGGAGCCTGCAGAGTTTGCTCCTGCCTGCACCCAAAAGCACTCGCCCCATCTCCTGCACCCATCACTTGTGCGCTCCCTTCCAGGAGTGAGTGGAGTTTGCCCCTGCTGATGCCAAAGTGACCAGCTGGTTCCAGTGCTCGTGGCCTCCAGTCCATGCCTCATTTGCTTACGTGCTCCCTCCCTCAAGGAGTTGAGAGCAGCAGGCTGAGTAAATGGGGGCACCCCTGTCATGAGTCTTGCAAAGGGGTCAGGAAAATATCCTGCTTCACTTTCACATCCCTAAGAGTGGAACTGCTGGATCATATAGTTCTATGTAATTTTTTGAGAAATAGTCAACCTGCTTTCACAGTAACCGGACCATTTCTACATTCCCACTTAGCAATGCATGAGGGTTCTGACTTTTCCATCCTCTCCAATGGCTGAAAGGGTTTTGATTGGGAGGATATGTGGTTTTTTGTTTGTTTGTTTGTTTGTTTGTTTTTTGTTTTTTTTTGAGACGGAGTTTCGCTCTTGTTACCCAGGCTGGAGTGCACTGGCGCGATCTCAGCTCACCGCAACCTCCGCCTCCTGGGTTCAGGCAATTCTCCTGCCTCAGCCTCCTAAGTAGCTGGGATTACAGGCACGCGCCACCACGCCCAGCTAGTTTTTTGTATTTTTAGTAGAGACGGGGTTTCACCATGTTGACCAGGATGGTCTCGATCTTTCGACCTCGTGATCCACCCGCCTCGGCCTCCCAAAGTGCTGGGATTACAGGCTTGAGCCACCGCGCCCGGCCGAGGATATGTGTTTTATAAAGAGCACCCTGGCTGCCAGGTGGAGACTGGCTCATAGGTGGTTAAAGGGCAGAAGCAGAGGTCAGTTTCCCTGGTAAATGATGATGGTGTCATGGACTAGGATGGTGATGGAGAGAAACACTCAGACGAGAGAGAGGCTCTTGAGGCAGAATCAACAGAACTCAGATTGTTGATGAGAGAGAGCAGGAGGAATCAAGAATGATTCCCAGGTGTTTAGGTAGAAAAGCTGGGTGACTTGTATTGCCATTTATCACAGTGGGACTGATTATGGGAGGTACTGGCCTATTCATAAGTGACAGGTGAATAGTCACAAGTAGTGACTCTTCACAATAGCCAAAAGGTATAAACAACTCAAATGTTTATCTATGGAGGAAAGAATAAATAAATATGGTACACACATACAATGAAATAGCATTCAGCCATAAGAGTGTGACATGCTGACATATGCTGTAGTATGGATGAACCTCAAAAACATTCTGCTGAATTAAAGAAACGAAGTACAAAACATGCATTGTAAGCTTCAGTTCATATTACATATACCTTTTTTTTTTTTTTTGAGACACAGAGTCTTGTTCTGTCACCCAGGCTGGCGTATAGTGGCATGATCATGGCTTACTGCCACCTTGACCTCCTGGGCTCAAGCAGTCTTCCACCTCAGCCACTTGGGTAGCTAGGACCACAGAAGCGTGCCTCTACACCTGGCCAGTTTCTGATTTTTTGTAGAGACAGGTTTTCACTATGTTGCCCAGGCTGGTCTTGAACTTCTGGACTCAGGCAATCCTCCCACCTAGGCCTCCCAAAATGCTGGGATTACAGGTGTGAGCCCCTGTGCCCAGCCCATAAGAAATATTAAGAATAGGCAAATCCATAGAAACTGAATATAGTATGTTGGTCTCCTGAAGTGCAGGGTATGGGTACTATTGAGTAACTACTTAATGGGTATGGCTGGTTTTTGGGAATTTTATTTCTCCTGTAATAGAAATGTTTGGAACAAGACAAAGGTAACGGCTGCACAACACTGTGAAACTACTAAATGCCACTGAATTGCTCCCTGAAGAAAGGTTATTTTTATGTTACACATATTTGACCTCTATTTAAAAAACAAAAATCCTTCCAACCCGCAGCACCCCCCATGTACACCTAGCACCCAGATGTTAGTTTCTAATACCTATCAAAGTCATCAATCAGGGCTCCTTGGAGAAATGTCTCATTCTAGAACTAGAGAGGAAATATAAAAGATGACCCTAGAGCATCTCATAGTTCCTGAAAGTAAAAGAAGTGCTTCTAACAAGTAAATAAAATCACAATTGACAGAGACATGCCAAAGGGACGCAGGGCTGAGGGAAAGAGCTGCCAAAGGCCAAAGCAGAAACAATTTCACCAATAAAATTAAGTAGTGTTGGATTATAACTCAGAGTTTAAAATAAATATCCAACAGTTCTTACTGATATAAATAAATGATTTCGTAAATAAATGCAGAAGAACAGACAAATCTCATTGAAGAATATCAAATGATTTATGTAACAGTAAAGTGGGCAGGCACAGTGGCTCACGCCCATAATCCCAGCATCCTGGAAGGCCAAGGTGGGTAAATCACCTGAAGTCAGGAGTTCGAGACCAGCTTGGTCAACATGGCGAAACCCCGTCTCTACTAAAATAACAAAAAAAAAAAAACAACAACAACAATGAGCTGGGCATGGTGGTGGGTGCCTGTAATCCCAGCTACTTGGGAGGCTAAGGCAGGAGAATTGCTTGAACCCAGGAGGCAGAGGTTGCAGGAGCCGAGATTGCGCCATTGTACTCCAGCCTTAGTAACAGAGCAAGACTCTCAAAAAAAAAAAAAAAAGAAAGAAAAAGAAAAACTTCTTCTGTCCTTGTCTTTTCCTCCTCCATTTGAACCAAGGACTCAGGTTTTTACTCTGTGCCTGATCCATCAGAGCCTTCTGAGGACATTCCAAGACAGTCTACAGTCCTGTGGTCCATCTGGAAATTCAGACAGATGGTTTTAACTGAATACTCATGAAAACTTTTAAAGAAATGAATGATAGAGGAGGATGGGGAGTTGGGGAGGAATAACATGGGGAGAAATGCCAGATATAGATGATGGAGAGGAAGGCAGCAAACCATATTGCCATGTATGTACCTATGCAACAATCTTGCATGTTCTTCACATGTACCCCAAAACCTAAAACGCAGTAAAATATATATGTTAAAAAAAAAAGAAATGAGTGATAGAGATAATCCGTATCTGTAAGCTTTGTTGGTTTTTCTTGTTTTTTATTTATTTGAGAAAGGGTCTTGCTCTGTCACCCGGGCTAGACTGCGGCAGTGTGATCACAGCTCACTGCAGCCTCTATCTCCTGGGCTCAAGTGATCCTCCCACTTCAGCCTCCCAAGTAGCTGGGACTACAGGCCTGCACCACCACACCCACCTAATTTTTTGGTTTTTTTGTAGAGACAGGGTCTCGCCACATTGCTCAGATTGGTCTCCAACTCCTGGGCTCAAGCAATCTGCCCACCTCAGCCTCCCAAAGTGGTGAGATTACTGGTATAAGCCACCATGCCCAACTTGCATTTTGAATTAATAGTTTCTTTTTTCTTAAGACAGAGTCTGACTCCGTCCCCCAGGCTGGAAGATAGTGGCATGATCTCAGCTCACTGCAGCCTCTAGCTCCTGGGTTCAGTGATTCTCCTGCCTCAGCCTCCTGAGTAGCTAGGACTACAGGCACCCGCCACCATGCCCAGTTAACTTCTGTTTGTTTTTTTAGCAGAGTCAGGGTTTCACCATGTTGGCCAGGCAGGTCTCAAACTCCTGAGCTCAAGTGATCCACCCGCCCCAGCCTCCCAAAATGCTGGGATTACAGGTGTGAGCCACAGCACCCAGATGAAACATTGTTTCATCTCATGTAAAAAAAAAAAAAATTTGGCCGGTGGGTGGCTGATGTCTGTAATCCCAGCACTTTGGGAGGCCAAGGCAGGCAGATCATGAGGTCAAGAGATCAAGACCATCCAGGCTAACACGGTGAAACCCCATCTCTACTAAAAATACTAAAAACTAGCCAGGCACAAGCCTGTAGTCCCAGCTACTCAGGAGGCTGAGGCAGGAGAATTGGTTGAACCAGGGAGGCAGCAGTTGTAGTGAGCCGAGATAGGGCCACAGCACTCCAGCCTGGGTGACAGAGCAAGACTCTGTCTCAAAAAAAAAAAAAAAAAAAAAAAAAAAAAATTCCAACAAATAATTTGTGTTGGTGGTTGTAAAGAACACCAGAGTGTTTTATCAAGTTTTTTGCTTAAGTGGCTTTAGGACAATTTAAAAGTCAACTTTGGTGCCAGAAAAAAAGAAGTCCATGAGGGAAATCCTCAGGTAAAACACACAAAATAAAATGCAGCGATAAGCAGCTAAGTCAGTGGCATCCAATGAAAACATCAGAAAGATCGAGAGCAGTTTTCCCAAGCAAATGGTTCTCCCCACCTTCCTCTCCCTCAGTCTGCCTCCTAAGGCCCAGGGGAGGAAATCAGAGAGGTAGCAGTGTCCACAGGAGAAACTGGGTTGGAAAACACTTAACAGACTCCAGGGAAAACTCCAGAAACACTAACCAAGGTAAAAACGAAGTAAAAGTGAGAGACAAAGTGTTAACTTTAGGTAAATTTAATGACTGTAAAAGCTATTCACATAGCAGCAAAGAGACACGTTTTCCACTGACATAAAGTTGCTTCACACACCTTGCAGCTCATCTCCACAGCTTCATGCCTCTTTCCTCAGTGACCAGCAATGTTTCCCCTTCCTGTTGGGGAAGACTGCCCAAGTCAGCTCTGAGGCCATCCTCCCAGCTCAGCAATACGCGGAGGAGTCCTTCAGGGTAGTCCTGCAGAGAACATGGCCCTTAAGTGTCTGAGAGCTAGCTGAGGTGATCTGAAAGAAAACCACGCAAAAGAAGGCAAGGTAACTAGGACTGTACCACTGGGACTTCACGTGGAGCCTCTAGAGGAGAAGCCCCCAAAAGGAACCTGATGGAGGCGACCAGCTGGCAAAGACCACATAGCTCCTGGGTGCCCCCAATCCCGGCAGGAAGACATGTCTCATGGAATGGCAATGTATATAATTTAAGAAGTCAGAGCAGGTCAGTCCCAGCCATTTCTCCCTTTTCTCTTGGAAGATGGCTCCTCCCCAACTCTATAAAATTCAGGTGGAACTGCCCATCACAGACCCTGCCTCCTAACTCCAAGGCTGAGCCAGTCAAATCCTTCCTTAGGATATCTATGGCCAACATTTGGTGAGAAATATTCTCTCTCCACCAATTGAGAGCTGAAAGAATGTGACCCCAAAGTTACCTATAGTCACATTTCTTACATAAGAACAAGTCAGTCGATTGGTAAATACTTAGTGAGTACATATTTTGTACCTGGAATTGCCCTAGGAGCTAGAAAATAAATAAAAACGAACAAACAGAGAGAAATAAAACAGGCATTTTCCCTGCCCTCAAAGGAACTTCTGTGGATGCTCTGGAGCATCAGTCTGTGTCCTGTCTAACTCATCAGTGCATATCCTGCCAGCTTCTGGTTCTGAGGCGAAACGGACATGAGAACAAGGCAGGGAAGGTGACAGAACTGTGTGCAGAACTGAGCAATGTGAGAAGGAAGAAGAAAGGAAGAAATGGAAGGAAAGAACAAACGAAGCACATCGCCAGTGAAAGGGAGAAAGAAAAGAGAGGGAAAATCTCACACCCATACAGCGCTGATCTGCAAGTCCAAGGAGGAAAGCCAAGAAACTTGAGCATGTGTACGTTAGGGAGGCCTAAGGCATCAGAGATCACAAAGATCACATTGGTCTCTGACAGACAACAATCTCTACTCACTCAAAATCACTTACATGTCCTGGCCTCTCTGCAGCAATAAACTACATGCCACTGCATACTTCAACCTCACCAAACTCCCACAAAGAACCCTTCCAGGACAGGAGAAAAGATAAGAAGAATAAGACGACACTGGTAAGGACCAGTCTAAAATTCAATCCAAAGTGCCCTTCCACTATACTGGTTGAAAAGAGATTTTTATTTTACTAAAATTTGTCTCTAGGAAAAAACTTGATTACCACAAATTATCCAAACCAACACTCATCTCACAGTGCAAGCCGAAGGCCCAAAAGGACTCCTCACCTGCACCAGCACATAGTCCCCAGGCTGGGCTCTGACCCTGTGCCCAGGGTTATTGACATCCTCCATCTCTGCATCAGGGAAGATCACCTTAAGGTTTCCATCATTCCTGCCGCATAGGTCAGTGGCAGAGCGTTTACTGAGCTGCAGAAAGAAGAGAGAAGAGTTCATGGATTTGTCATAGTCATAAATTTTTGGTGGGTAGAAACTGTGCCTTCTGTGTCTCAGATCCCCAAGAGTCTTACCCACAGAGCACTCCTTAACCAAGGAATCACTGAAGACTCAGTGTTTGCTGCTGCTTCACCAAGGGCACTGTATGGCCCACAACTGAAACTCTGTAAAGTTTTACTACTATATTGTAATGAATCAATTAATCAATGAGTCTTTGCAGAACTGCCCTCTGCAGGAATGGACTTCCAACTGTCCTAAAGCCAGAGACTTATGAGTGATACATTTGGAAAACAGACTTTCACTTTACCCAGTCTCATACTAATCACTCAGGAATGTTCTGGGGTTGTTTGGCCTGGATTACTTGCCCTTACTGAATAGACAGACTGAAAGCCAGAGTCTCCATCACAACACACAGAAGTCAGAGCCAGGCAGATACTAACATCACTATGACAGGATTAACTTCTAGAGTATACAGAAATCCTCTCTTCCAGCGATGATAAAGACACAGAAACAAGTTTACCCTTCAGCCTTATAAATAATAACCAGCAAAATGGGCAAAATATAAGAAACAAAATACTGGACAAAAGATCATACAAGACCGTGAACTGTGAGAGAAGGAAAACAAAGCGAGCCTGCCAATTGCCCCTGCTTTCTGCCAGAAGGTACATGCCAGACAGAAGCCTGTGAAGCAGGAGGGGAGAGCTCGAGCACAGCACAGTGGTCCTCCCTTCACTGAAGAGAGAGGGATTAGGGTTCGGGGAGCCCGAAATAGTCAGCAATTGTCAAATTCTAGACAGGAGGGAGCAAAGTGGAAAAAGAATTTCAGAAATATGCAGAGGGTCCTTATTAGTCTTCGCTGAACACTAACACTTGCACATGTAGCATAAAACTCCATGAAGTCAGGCAAAGAGAGTAACCTGGGAACTGTCAACTGAACAGTTCCCAGAACTCACATGTGGCTTGGAATCCACCACCCAACAGTTCTCATTGGTTCCTTGGGACATTCACTAGCAACTCCTGACAGAAGGCCACACCTTAGTAGTTAGGCTACACTATCCCTAGAATAAAAGTTTTTCTGGTCAGACTCGGTGGCTCACGCCTCTAATCCCAGCACTTTGGGAGTCTGAGGCTAGTGAATCACCTGAGGTCAGGCGTTTGAGACCAGCCTGGCCAACATGGCAAAACCTCGTCTCTACTAAAAATACAAAAATTAGCCGGGCATAGTGGCATACATCTGTAGTCCCAGCTACTTGGGAGGCAGAGGCAAAAGAATCACTAGACTTGGGAGGTTGCAGCAAGTTGAGATTGTTCCACTGCACTCCAGCCTGGGCAAAAGAGCGAGACTCCATCTCAAACAAAAAAAAAAAAAAAAGAAAGAAAAAAAGAAAGACTTAGGTGTAAATATAACAAAACATGGACAAAATCTGTATACTGAAAACTACAAAAGCTAAAAACATGAGCCTGTAGTCCCAGCTACTTGAGAGGTTAAGGCAAGAGAATCACTTGAGCCTAGCAGTTTGAGTCCAGCCTGGGCAACATAGCAAGAAAAAAAAAATCAAAGATCTAAATAAAGAAAAGATATACGATGTTCTGAAGCATAAAAAACAACATAACACACACATATGGCCTCACCCCTTCCACTAGCACCAACTGGGTACAGCCCACAGAGGTCTGATTGGCTTTTGTTGCTTCTTCTCGGAAGACAGTGATAAGTTCCTCCAAACGCCTTAATTTTACCTCTTCCGGGACATCATCCTTCAGCCTGTGATATGCCCGTGTCTTCTATTGAAAAAAAAAAAAAAAAGAGGAGATAGAGGTCACCTTCTACAAAGACTTGTAGAATCTACTCTTAATGCACAGAGGGGATTACAGTTACAGATACGTGTACAGAAACCCAAGCAGAGCCAAGAGGTTTCTCCGGCTCTGGAAGCATTGCAAGAGAAAAATGTATTTTTGCAAGAGTTAAATTCTAAATTTAGCACATGAAAAGCATAGACTCAAAATTACTCTTGATATTTACCCTAAGGTTACACTTGTACATATACCAAATGATTCACATATACTAGGTTACTCAGCAGTGCTATTTATAAAGACATAAGAGGCAAAGCAGCCTAAATGTTTATCAATAGGCAAGCAGTCACAGAAATGATGGTTTATCCATACAATGGAATATTATGTAGCTGTTAAACAGAATGATAGCTCTATATGTACTAATGTGCATTGTCCTCCAATCTACTGTTACTTGAAATAAGGAAAGCACAGATCAACACATGTAACTTTGGTGTAGACAGAATACATACAGGTATGCTTACAAACACATGAAATATCCCCAGAAAGTTATAAAAGAAATTGCTAAGAGTGGTTGCCTTCAGGGAAATAACTAAAAAACTAGGCACCCTGGGAAGAAGGAAGAACTGCTCACGTATACCATTTAACCTTTTAAATTTTATACCACAATCGTGTGTTACCTAATCCAAAAGAAAAAAGGGAATTTATCCTTAAAAAGAGTTTACATCATCTAAAACCACAGTGTGTATATATATCTTTATGTACATGAGCTCATGCTCAGTATAGCTGGAGAACCACTAAGCTAGATGGAAGTATGGAATAGAAGGAATATCTATATACTAAAGTCTGGACGTTCAAACCAATCTGCCTTGAAGAGAAGAATCCACAGAGAAAATTGAGAATCCTAAAAATACTTGCAGAGTTTACTACATTCTGTCTTACTGTTTATTAACAACACTAACTTACCTGTTGTGCATTTACTATGCATGAAAACACAATTATAACTGCTTTAAACATTTTTTTTTTTTTTTTTTTTGAGACGGAGTTTCGCTCTTGTTACCCAGGCTGGAGTGCAATGGCGCAATCTCGGCTCACCGCAACCTCCGCCTCCCGGGTTCAAGCAATTCTCCTGCCTCAGCCTCCTGAGTAGCTGGGATTACAGGCACGAGCCACCATGCCCAGCTAATTTTTTGTATCTTTAGTAGAGACGGGGTTTCACTATGTTGACCAGTATGGTCTCGATCTCTTGACCTCGTGATCCACCCGCCTCGGCCTCCCAAAGTGCTGGGATTACAGGCTTGAGCCACCGCGCCCGGCTTGCTTTAAACATATTTATCTTACTTAATCCCCAGAACAACCCTATGAAGCTGGTACTGTTATCCCCAGTTCACAAATGAGGAAACCAAGACATCTGCCCAATGTCACATAGTTATTAAGTGACAGAGGCACAATTTGAGTGCTTGATCTCATCTGCTAGGTTTTGATTAAGTTCCTACAACCTTAACTGTAACGTAGGAATTAGGTCCCAAAGTGAACATTCATATTCACTGACCATAAGATGCTTCCACCACATGCTGAAAACCCATTTCCCATCCCTAAGATTTTTTTTTCTTTTTTGAGACAGGGTCTCACTCTGTTGCCAAACAGGAGTGCAGTGGCACAATCTCAGCTCACCACACCTTCAACCTCCCAGGCTCAAGTGATCCTCCCACTTCAGCCTCTCAAATAGCTGGGATCACAGGCATGTGCCATCACGCTTGGCTAATTTTTTCTTTTTTTTTTTTTTTTGTAGAGACAGAATGTCCCTGTGTTACCCGGGTTGGTCTCAAACTCCTGGGCTTAAGTGATCCTCCCACCTCCACCAATCCTAGTATTAAAAAGAATTTCTCTTGCATATTTGTGATGTCCATGGAAAAGAAGCAAAGTAGAAACAGCTCCTCAGAAACTTCATCTCTCCAAAACAATACGAGAGACATGAATATGATATATACATCGGCACAGCTATCCTGCCCACAGAACACTAGGCAGTGGGCTTTAAAACAAACAAATTAGTCGAGGTGTCATGACTCACACCTGTAATCTCAGCACTTCAGGAGACCGAGGTGGGAGGACTGCCTGAGGCTGGAAGTTTGAGACCAACCTGGACAGCATCGCAAGACACTACCTCTTAAAAAAACAAAAACCAAAAAAAAAAAGGTGATTCTTTTTATATGCCCTTATGGTCCCAAGTATGGCCAGAAAGATATAAAGTTCACCAAGAATAATTTGGAGGTTGCCAAGGACTTATTTAAAAGTGTTTTCAAGTCTGACCAAGAACTCTGACATTTACAAATAGATAAGATGTGAATATTTAAAATCATATTTTCTTTTCAGAAAAAAAAATTAGCTTGGTTGATGGCAGCTCAGTAAAAATGACAATAAAGTCATGGTTCAGCCATTCGTCAGCCAGCTTTTCTGAGCCCCCTGGTCACAAGGGGCCTTCAACCTCCTGCCCAAACACAAGCGCACTGCCACAAAGGTAACTGAGGGGATGAGGAGTGGACCATGCAAATCCATGCCTACGATCAAGAAAATGACAGTCAACCAGGACTATCCCTTCTCTGCAGGAAAAGTGCACTGATCCCTCCTCCTTTCCTAATCTCCTTCTGCTATATTTTCCTAGGAATCTGCTTTGTTTCCTGGGAAGCTTCAAAGTGAGTTCACTTGCCCAGGAAAACAGAAATTAGGAATCACTGAAGATGGCTAGGAAGATGACCAGGGGCCCTGGTAAAATAAACCACATCTGCAGACGAAAAAGGAGTTCTGCATGTTAAGAAACAAGTTCAGGTTTCTTGTAAAGAAAAGGTTCTCTCCTTCCATACTCAAATTGTAAACAATGTAAACATAATTTTTAAATATTTTAACAAAGAGGAATACTGGCACAGTCATCATTTATCATCAAATTGCTGAACTGTTGTTTCAAAGAGCAGACAGAGTAGACTAGAAAAATGAAAGGAAGTGAATCGTCAGAGCCTGTGGTTTCTCAAGGACTGCCTTGCCACCACTCATTTCTGCCCAGTTCTCTATAATCACCCCCAAATGGGTCAGGAATGATGTCAGTCCTCCCAACCCCAGGGCTCACCTGCCTCATGCTGTAGGCAAAGAGGAAGCCCATATTGTACTGAACTTCCCGGAGCAAAGATACTGTCTGGACATGATCTTCCTCCGTCTCACCACAAAAGCCAGCAATGAAGTCACTGCTAAGGCTCACACCTGTGACATACAACAAAGGAGGTTTACCTTCAATGGAGGCCTTCGGCATATGTGGATTACAAGGGAGGGATAGCAACTGTAAGGCCTTTCCTGGGACTATTCAGCCCACGCATAAGTAAAACAAAATAGTCAGTACAGAGTAAGGCAGGATGCGCCTGTTCATCCATAACATTCCATGACAGAGACCAGCTTGTCGGCTGGAAAGAAACGAATTATCACCAATACTTACAGTAATAAGTTGCAATAAAGCTAGTTAGAAAAAGTATACATTTTAAAAGATACCAATTGCTCTCAAATCAGAACTAATTTAGATATTGTCAGCTTACAAGATGAGATAAGGTCTGTCCTCTATGTCTAGAAATACAAAGACCATAGAAAAGGAATCTCCATAGCCTTGAGGTCACAAGGTGATTCACACTTGAGTATTTCCAGCAGGACTAAGACCACAAAGAATCAGAAAGACATAAAAGAAAGAGTACAAGGAGAGAGAAAGAGAAAGAAGGGGAGCACAAGAAGTATACAACTGTCATGGCCGGGTGCAGTGGCTCATGCCTGTAATCCCAGCACTTTGGAAGGCCAAAGCAGGTGGATCACGAGGTCAGGAGTCTGAGACAAGCCTGGCCAACATGGCGAAACCCCGTCTCTACTAAGAATACAAAAATTAGCCGGATGTGGTGGCGCACACCTGTAGTTCCAGCTACTCAGGAGGCTCAGGCAGGAGAACTGCTTGAACCCGGGAGGCAGAGGTTGCAGTGAGCCAAAATTGAGCCACTGTACTGCAGCCTGGGCAAGAGCGAAACTCCATCTCAGAAACAAACAAACAAACAAACAAATCTGTGTCACAATGAAATGCCAAAGGTGTTGACAGTTGCCTGTATCTAACCACTGACAACTGGTCACTGGTAGAGTAACGTGCTCAGCAGAATGAGTTTCTTAAATGTACCTGGAATGGATTCTCTGATATGGTGAACTAACTCCACGTAAGCTTCTCTTGAATATCTGCAATAAAGAACAAAACGAAAAGGCCTACATAAACCCAGTCTTTTTAAGTGAATGCTATAAAAAGCTAATACTATGAATCCCCACAAGTAATCACTTTTCATCCAATTGGCAGGGCACAAGAGTAGATTAAAGTATCCAAAAGAGTCCTTTTAATACAAGCGGTATCTTCTAATCTAATCTAGAGCCTATGAATTTTTATTTCAAGGGCATAAACTTTTTTTTTTTTGAGACAGGGTCTCGCTCACTCTGTCACCCAGGCTGGAGTGCAGTGGGACAATCTCAGTTCACTGCAACCTCAAACTCCTGGGCTCAAGTGTTCCTTCTACCTCAGCCTTCAGGCTGGTCCAGTCTCAAACTACCTGGCTAGTGTGAGAGAGACAGAGAGAGTGTGAGTGTGTGTGTGTGTCTGTGTGTGTGTGTGTGGAGAGACTGCATGTATGTAGAGACGGGGTGTATATGTATAGAGACTGTGTGTGTGGAGAGAGAGTGCATGTATGTGTGTTTGTGTAGCGACTGGATGTGTGTGTGTGTGTGTAAAGACTGGGTATATGTGTGTAGAGACTGTGTGTGTGTAGAAAGAGTGCATGTATGTGTGTGTGGAGACTGGATATGTGTGTGTGTGTGTGTGTGTGTAAAGACGGGGTGTATGTGTGTAGAGACCAGGTGTGTGTGTATGGTGTGTTTGTGTGGAGAGTAGGGTGCGTGTGCGCGCATGTGTGTGTGTGTGTGTAGAGACTGGGTTTCGCCATGTTGCCCAGGCTGGTCTATTCTTAAACTATTGAGCTCAGGCAATCTGCCCGCCTCAGCCTCCCAAAGTGCTTAGACTGCAGGCATGAGCCACAGTGCCTGGCCAGCATAAACTATTCTAAATAGCTTTTATTTAACTAATAAATCTAGATGGATTAAACATTTTAGAGGACCTCTAAAACACTATGCCACTGTGGAAACAAGAGAAGGCACTAATTCCGTACAGCTTGCCTTGGGACACATTCTCCCTTCAGTCTCATCTGTGTCATACTTATTATTCTCAAAGGAAGTGAACACATACAGCTACATTTAAATTCCAAGACATAACAAAACCTTAATGTTAACATTAAAGAATAAAGTCTCAGAGTGTGTCACACCATAGGTGCTTAATTTAAAAAAACATACTAAACAGTGAAAATGGTTGACTCGGTCCTTAGCCCATGCTTGCAGAGTGAGCAGACGCAAGCTCCAGTGCCCAGTGGCTTGGTTATACAATAAATATTGACTGAGCAGCTACTGTGTGCCACACACTGCACTGGGTTCTTAGCAACAAAGACACTGCTTGGTCATTAAGGAAACATGGGAAGTGTGGGATGCCCCCTTTCCAAGCAAGTCTGACCCCCTCCGCATGGCCTCCAACACACGGCTGCTTCCACTCTGGGCTGGCAGGTGGATCTGTTTACAGATGTTCTCTCTCTCATGAATCAGCTGCAGAACCTGATCAAATAGAACACATTACAGGTCATCAAAATCTCACCAAAGAATCTTACAGAAAGCAATGCAGCTCTTATTATGTGTCCTCCAAGGTTAATTTTCAACTGATCAAGAGGCTGATTAAACCCAACACACAAATCACCTATTCCCTAATTTCTGTCCAAGCCCCCTTCCATTTGTCCCAGACATTTCACCTAATAGCATCTCTGCTTTCAAAGAGCAGAGAGAATAGCTACATACCAGCCACAAAACAGAACAAAACAAAACAAGCAAGCAAGCAGAGATCAGATTAAAGCCACGGAGCTGAATACAGGTAGTGCTGTCACTACGGTCAGCAGGCAAAGAAGGAAAAAATGGCACTTCTTTCACTGAGCTTACAAACAAGTTATTTTCTTTTTCTTTTTTTCTTTTTTTGAGACAGATTATTACTCCATCGCCCAGGCTGGAGTACAGTGGTGCCATCTCAGCTCACTGCAACCTCTGCCTCCTGGGTTTAAGTGATTCTCCTCCCTCAGACTCCCGAGTAGTGGGGATTACAGGCACAAGCCACCATGCTTGGCTAATTTTTGTAATTTTAGTAGAGACAAGTTTTCACCATGTGACCCAGGCTGATCTAGAAATACTGACCTCAAGTGATCCACCCACCTCAGCCTCCCAAAGTGCCAGGATTACAGGTGTGAGCCACCACGCCACCCCAAATTAGTCACTTTTACAGATACATCAGGCCAGGCATCATGGCCCACCTCTGTAATCCTAGCACTTTGTGAGGCCAAGGCAGGAGGATCACTTGAGGCCAAGCATTCAAGACCAGCCTGGACAACATAGCAAGACCTTGTGTCTATTTTTTGTTCTAATTTTTTTTTTTTTATAGACAGAGTCTTGCTCTGTGGTCAGACTGTAATGCAGTGGCATGATCTCAGCTCACTGTAACCTCTGCCTCCCAGGTTTAAACAATTCTCCTGCCTCAGCCTCCCGAGTAGCTGAGATTACAGGGGTGTGCAACCATGCCCAACTAATTTTTTTGTATTTTTAGTAGAGACAGGGTTTCACCATGTTGGCCAGGATGGTCTCGATCTCCTGACCTTGTGATCCGCCCGCACTGGCCTCCCAAAGTGCTGGGATTTTTTTAATTTTTAAAAGAAAAAAAAAGGGAAAAAAGCTGGGCACAGTGACTCACACCTGCAATCCCAGCACTTTGGGAGGCCAAGGCGGGTGGATCACAAGGTCAGGAGTTCAAGACCACCCTGGCCAACATGGTGAAAACCCATCTCTACTAAAAATACAAAAAATTAGCCAGGTGTGGTGTCTCACACCTGTAATCCTAACTACTCTGGAGGCTGAGGCAGAAGAATCGCTTGAACTCAGGAGGCAGAGGACGTGGTGAGCGGAGATCCTGCCATTGCACTCCAGCATGGGCGACAAAGCAACACTCTGTCTCAAAAAAAAAAAAGAAAAAAGAAAAAAAAAAGATACCATCAAAAAACTGATACTAGGGGAAAATATTTGAAAACATATTGACAAAAGATATGAATCAGTAATATAGAAAGAAGCTGGGCACGGTTGCTCACTTGTAATACTAGCGCTTTGGGAGGCTAAGGTGGGCAAATCATTTGAGGTCAGCAGTTTGAGACCAGCCTGGCCAATGTGGTAAAACCGCGTTTCTACTAAAAATACAAAAACTAGCCAGACATGTTGGTGGGCACCTGTAATCCCAGCTACTCGGGAGGCTGAGGCAGAAGAATCAGTTGAATCCAGGAGGCGCAGGTTGCAGTGAGGCCAGATAATGCCACTGCACTTCAGCCTGGGTGACAGAGCGAGACTCCATCTCAAAAAAAAAAAAAAAAAAGAATACATAAAGAGAACTGAGTCCAGTCTCTCTACTCCATTTCAAGAAAGACCCTTTTGCAGTGGTCAAAAAAATAAAGGATATATAAAGAACTTTTACAGCTTAGTAAGAAGACAATCCAGAGGAAGAAAGATGTAAGTGGGGACCAAAAGAAAGACATTTCATCGAAACAACCTTCAGGCCAAACGCGGTTGCTCACGCCTATAATCCCAGCACTTTGGGAGGCAGAGGCAGGTGGATCACTTGAGGGCAGAAGTTTGAGACCAGCCTGGCCAACACAGTGAAACTCTGTCTCTACTAAAAACACAAAAATTAGCTGGGCGTGGTGGTGGGTGCCTGTAATCCCAACACTTTGAGGCTGAGGCAGGTGGATCACGAGGTCAAGAGTTGGAGACCAACCTGGTCAACACGGTGAAACCCCATCTCTACTAAGAATACAAAAATTAGCTGGGAGTGGTGGCACGTGCCTGTAATCCCATCTACTCAGGAGGCTGAGGCAGGAGAATCACTTGAACCAGGGAGGCAGAGGTTGTAGCGAGCCGAGATCATGCCACTGCACTCCAGCCTGGGTGACAGAACAAGACACCATCTTGGAAAAAAAAATAAAAATAAAAACTATAAAGCTGTTTGTTACATTGCCTGGGCTGGTGTCCAACTTCTAGGCTCAACCGATTCTCCTGCCTCAACCTCCCAAAGTGCTGGGATTACAGGAATGAGCCACCATACCCAGCCTTAGCATACTTTATTGCTAAAAAAAATGCTAACGATCATCTGAACCTTCAAGTGAGCAATGTTTCTGGCTGCTGACTGATCAGGATGGTGGCTGCAGAAGGTTGGGGTGGCTGTGACAATTTGTTAAAATAAGACAGTGATGAAGTCTGCCACATCAAATGACTCTTCCTTTCAGAAAAGATTGCTCTATAACACATGATGCTGTTTGACAGCATTTTACCCACAATAGAACATCTTTTAAAATTGCAGTTCTCTCAAACCCTGCCACTGTTTTATCAGCTAAGTTTATGCAATATTCTAAATACTTTGTTGTTATTTCAATAACATCCATAGCATCTTCACCAGGAGAAGATTCTATATCAAGAAACCCTGTTCGGGCAGGACACAGTGGCTCATGCCTGTAATCCCAGCACTTTGGGAGGTCCAACTGGGTGGATCACTTGAGGTCAGTTCAAGTCCAGCCTGGCCAACATGGCAAAAACCCATCTCTACTAAAAATACACAAAAATTAGCTCGGTGTGGCAGCAGGTGCCTATAATCCCAGCTACTTGGGAGGCTGAAGCAGAACTGCTTGAACCCAGGAGGTGGAGGCTGCAGTGAGCCAAGATTGCAACACCGTACTCCATCCACCCTGGGTGACAGTGAGAATTCGTCTCAAAAAAATAAATCTTTTTTTTTTGCTCATCCATAAGAAGCAACTCCTCTTTCATTGACGTTTGACCATGAGATTGCAACAATTCAGTCACATCTTCAAGCTCCACTTCTAATTCTAGTTTTCTTGCTATTTCCACTGCATCTACAGTTATTCCCTCCACTGAAGTCTTGAGCACCTCAAATGATCCATAAATGCTGAAATCTGTGTCTTCCAAACTCCTATTAATGTTGACATTTTGACATCTTTCCATGAATCATTAATGTTCTTAATGGCATCTAGAGTGATGAATTCTTTCCAGAATGTTTTCTATTTACTCTGCCCAGATTATCTATGACAACTATAGCTTTATGAAATATATTTCTTAAATAATAAAAACTGATCTTATATAAACTAAAAATTAAAATAATAGGGCTTGAAAGTTGAAATTACTCCTTGATCCATGGGCTGCAAAATGGATATTGTGTTAGCAGGCATAAAAACAACACTAATCTCCTTGTACATCTCTATCAGAGCCCTGGGATGACAAGGTGCATTGTTAATGAACAGTCGAAATGAACCTTTTTTTCTAAGCAGTAGGTCTCAACAGCAAGCTTAAAATATTCAGTAAACCGGCCAAGCACAATGGCTTATGCCTGTAATGTCAGCACTTTGGGAGATTGAGGTAGAAGAAACACTTGAGCCCAAGAGTTTGAGACCAGCCTAAGCAACACAGGGAGATACCATCTCTACAAAAATTAAAAATTAACAAATTAACAAATTAAATATTCAGTAAACCAGGCTGTAAACAGGTGTGCTATCTAGCCTTTGTTCCTTTATTTATAGAGTACAGGCAGAGATTCAGCATCATTCTTAAGGGCGCTGGGATTTTCAAAATGGTGAATGAGGGAGAGGGGGACTGGGGAGGAATAGCAGGGGGTGGGGGATTACGGAGGGATAGCATTAGGAGAAATACCTAATGTAGATGACAGGGCATGGATGCAGCAAACCACCACCATGGCATGAGTATACCTACGTAACAAACCTGCATGATCTGCACATGTACCCCAGAACTTAAAAGTGTAATAAATAAACTATGCATGCCTGATTACTTTCTAGACTTTCTTTTCCTTCTACCAATCACCTGCTAATCCCTGAATCTGCTCACTAAATCTTTTCTAATAAAGTTACTGGCTTGGGGCCAGTATGGGGAAGACAGATTTGAGCTGGACTCCTGTCTCCTTGATAGCTGACTTGCAATAAAAATCTTTTGACTTTTCCTCAAAAACCCAGCCACAGTATTGACTTTTAGCTCATTGGGCAGCAAAGTATCTTTTGCTTCATAACAGGTACCTCAAACAGGTCGAATCATTCAGCATTTTTCTTTTTGTAATTGGGTTATTCCACTCAAGATAATTTATTTAGGGTTCATTCATGTTGTAGCATGTGTCAAAATTGCATTCCTTTTTAAGGCTGAATAATATTCCATTATATGTGTTATGAAGTTAAAGGGGGCTCCCTGTCTGATGTGCTAGAAGCCATCAAGTTTTTGAAAAAATACTTTTTGTTGCAAGTAGACTCATGGGGAGATGAGAATATCAAGTTTAAATCTGTCTCCCCATGTTGTTTTTAAGGCAACATTTCCACTGGAAAAGGTTTATTGGATGGATGTTGGGGTTAGTAGGTGATTAGTGGAAGAAAAGAGAGATTTGGAAAGTTGGCCAGGCATGGTGGCTCATGCCTGTAATCCAAGCACTTTGGAGGCCAAAGCGGGCAGATCACCTGAGGTCGGGAGTTCAAGACCAGCCTGACCAACATGGTAAACTCCGTCTTACAAATAAATAAATAAATAAATAAAAATAAAAAAGGAAAGTCTTTGGGCATGAGCAGTTATCTCTTCATGCTAACTCATGGATCACATGTGCAAATTTGGGGTGAGTCAGCATAAAACATGCAATGGAAATTCAGGCTGGGATATCAGCAAGTTCATTCCGCTCAAACTCCAGTTGGCCATCTTTGTTTCAACTGATTATAGCTGGTTTTTTTCTTTTTTTCTTTCCTTTCTTTCCAATTTTTCTTTTCTTTCTTTTCTTTTCTTTTATTTTATTTTGAGATGGGGTATTGCTCTGCAGCCTAGGCTGGAGTAGAGTGGTGTGATCACAGCTTTACTGCAGCTTCATCCTTCTGGGTTCAAGCAATGCTCTCATCTCAGCCTCTCAAGCAGCTGAGACCACAGGTATATGCTACCATGCCCAGCTAAGTTTTAATGTTTGGTACAGACAGGGTCTCACTATGTTGCCCAGGCTGGACTCAAACTCCCGAGCTCAAGCAATCCTCTTGCCTCAGCCTCCCAAAGTGCTTCAATTATAAGTGTGAGCCACTTCACCTGGCCCAGTTTTTTCTTGATCTCACAAGCAGATATCGAGTTTCAGTGTCTAACCAGGTTGTATCTTTTCTGCTATCTATAAACTCAATAATTTTTGTTACTGTTTTCTTACTCTTTGGGGCAGAGTTTGAGTTCAGGCATCTCAACATATTGTTTCTTCTCTTACCGACTACCCTGTAAACCTAAGAATTTAGTCACTGGTTTCTTTAAGTCATTGGTTTTCTTTTTTTTTTTTTTCCTTAATCCTGAGTTCTAATGTGATTGCACTGTGGTCTGAGAGACTAAGTCATTGGTTTTATATGTATATGCCACATTATGTTTATCCATTTATTTGTTGATAGACACTCACATTGATTCTGTATCTTAGCTATTGTGAATAATGCTGCTATTAACATGGTGGTACATATTTGAATTCCTGCTTTTAATTCTTCTGATATATACTAAGAAGTAGAATTACTGGATTATATAACAATTCTACTGTTAATTTTTTCTCACACAAAAAAATGGCAAATGAGCACTGGCTTCAACTTAAAGTCACCAGCTGCCTTGACCCCTAACAGGAGTCTGGCTGGGCACAGTGGTTCATGCCTGTAATCCCAGCACTTTGGGAGGCCTAGGTGGGAGAACTGCTTGAGGTAAGGTGTTCAAGACCATCCTGGGCAACACAGCCGGACCCCACCTCTGATTTTTTTAAAAGAAAACAAAAAAGAGAGAGTCAACCTATCCTTTGAAGCTTTGAAGAATGGCACTGATTTCTCTTCTCTGGCTATGAAAGTCCCAGATGGCATCTTCTTCCCATAGAAGACTGTTCATTTACACTGAAAGCCTCTTGTTTAGTATAACCACCTTCATCAAAGATCTTAGCTAGACCTTCTGGATAACTTTTTGTAGCTTCTGTATCAGCACTATGGCTTTGCCTTGTACTTTGATGTTAGAGAGATGGTTTCTTTCCACAAACCTTGTAAGTCAACCTCTGTTAGCTTCAAACATTTCTTCTTCAGCTTCCTCACCTCTTTTGGCCTTCAGAGAACTGAAGAGAGCTAAGGACTTGTACTGGATTAGGCTTTGGCTTACACAGTATTGTGGCTTCCTTGATCTTCTCTCCAGATCACTAAGCTTTCTCCGTATCAGCAAAAAGGCAGGGCTTAACTGTTTTTCTTTCTTTCTTTTTTTTTTTTTTTTTTTTTGAGGCAGTCTCACTCCATTGCCCAGGTTGGAACGCAGTGGCACAATCTCAGCTCAGTCCAACCTCTGCCTTTCGGGTTCGAGCAATTCTCCTGCCTCAGCCTCCCAGGTAGCTAGGATTACAGGTGTGCACCACCACGCCTGGCTAATTTTTGTATTTTTAGTAGAGGCAGTGTTTCACCATGTTGGCCAGGCTGGTCTAGAACTCCTGACCTCAGGTGATACACCCATCCTGGCCTCCCAAAGTGCTGGGATTACAGGCATGATCCACTGTGCCCGGCCTGTGAGCCACCACACCCAGCCAAAAAGACTGCTTTGTTTTCTTATCATTCATGTTTTCAGTGGAGTAGCATTTTTAATTTCCTTCATGAACTTTTCCTTTGCATTTACAACTGGGCTGGCTGGCATAAGAGGCCTAGCTTTCAACCTAGCTCAGCTTTCAATATGATTTCCTCAGTAAGCTTAAAGAGTTCTGGTTTTTTATTTCAAGTGAGAGCTGTGTGACTCTTCCCTTCACTTGAGCACTTTAGAGGCCACTATAGTTAAACGGCCCAATTTCAATATTGCTGCCTCAGGGAACAGGGAGAGAAAAAGAGACAGGGAAACCACCATTGGTGGAGCAGTCAGAACACACACATCATTTATAAATTAAAGTCACTCTCTGATGTGGGCGTGACTCACGGTGTCCCGAAACAATTTTAAGAGTAACATTAGGCCAGCACGGTGGCTTAGGCCTGTAATCCCAGCACTTTGGGAGGCTCAGGGAGCAGATCACCTGAGATAGAAAGGTCAAGAACAGCCTGACCAACATGGTGAAACACCATCTCTACTAAAAATACAAAATTAACCAGGCATGGTGGTACATGCCTGTAATCCCAGCTACTCGGGAGGCTGAGACAGGAGAATTGTTTGAACCTGGGAGACAGAGGTTGTGGTGAGCCGAGACTGTGCCATTGTACTCCAGCCTGGGAACCAAGAGTGAAATTCCATCTCAAAATAAAAAAAAGAGTAACATTAAAGATCACTGATCACAGATCACCGTAACAGACATAATAATAATGAAAGTTTGGGCCAGGTGTGGTGGATCACGCCTGTAATCCCAGCACTTTGGGAGGCTGAGGCAGGTGGGTTACAAGGTCAGGGGTTCGAGACCAGTTCTGACCAACATGGTGAAACCCCATCTCTACTAAAAATACAAAAATTAGCTGGGTGTGGTGGCGCATACCTGTAATCCCAGCTACTCAGGAGGCTGACGGAGGAGAATCGCTTGAACCTGGGAGTCGGAGGTTGTGGTTAGCCAAGATCACGCTACTGTACTCCAGCCTGGGCAACAGAGCGAGACTCCATCTCAAAAAAAATAGTAATAATAATAATGAAGTTTGAAATATTGTGAGAATTACCAAAAAGTGACACAGAGACATGAAGTAAGCACATGCTGTTGAAAAAATAGTGCTGGCAGACTTATTCAGAGTTGCCACAAACCTTCCATTTGTTAAAAATAACTCCATAATATCTGCAGAGTACAATAAAGGTATGTCTATGTATCTACTTCACACCAACCCAGAGCAGGAGTGTTAACCCCTTATTAACACCGCTTTACAGATAAAGATGAAAAGCTGAAAACATCACACACTTGCTGGTAAAACAATAGAAAAACTGAGATGTGAACCCAGGTCTGGCTGAGGCTAAAGTCTGGGCTGTTTCTCAGAGCACCACATCACCTCCTTCCTGTCCACCCCAACACCACCATTACTGCCCCACCACCATTATTACCACTCAGTTGCCCACTTTGTAACAAACTCTCTCTGTATAGCCCTCATGGTCCTGCAGGTGGTTCAACCTCCCGTGGAATATCAGACCTATCGCCTACCTTGGCAGACTCTTTTTTTTTGAGACAGGGCATCGTTCTATCACCCAGGCTGGAGTGCAATGGTGCAATCTTGGCTCATTGCAGCCTCAACTTCCTGGGCTCAGGTGATTTTCCTACCTCAGTCTCTCAAGTAACTGGAACTACAGTCATATGCCAGCACACCCAGTTAATTGTTTGTATTTTCAGTACAGACGGTGTTTCACCATGTTGCCCAGGCTGGCCTCCAACTCCTAAGCTCAAGCAATCCACTTGCCTCAGCCTCCCAAAGTGTTGAGATTATAGGTGTGAACCCCCATGCCCAGCCACTGATGGACTTTAAATCTTCAAAGGACCAGCAGATCCAGAGGGTGATGCAGCAATCCCGACAGGATCCCTGAGCAGGACACCAGGTCTCTGCTGCCTCCCTGCTAGGTCCAGCCTTTGGCATGCTCAAAGATACTAATACCAGTTTGTCACAGCTAACCTGACACTCACCTCATCAGGAAAATCCTTGGGGTGGGGAGAAGTGAAACGGATTCTCATTTCAGGATCCACTCTGGAGACCTGATCCAGAAGATGGGCAAAACGAAGTCCTCCTTGCTTGGTTTTATAGTTGGTGGTAAAGCCACGGCTGAGGTTGGTAGACGCTGCATTGTTGAACTGAATCTCTGAATTGTCCCGAAAACTATTAACATTCTGACCAAGAAGCGTCACTTCTTTCAGCCCCTAAAAATGGAAAAATATATTGGAATTTTAAAACTTTTGGGTAGCTTCATTAAAAAAACACTAATTAAAAATTAGCCAAGGCCAGGCCCAGTGGCTTATGCCTGTAATCCCAGCACTTTAGGAGGCCAACCCAGGCAAATCACGAGGTAAAGAGATCGAGACCACCCTGGCCAACATGGTGAAACCCTGTCTCTACTAAAAGCACAAAAAAATTAGCTGGGCGTGGTGGCGCATGCGTGTAGTCCCAGCTACTCGGGAGGATGAGGCGGGAGAATCACTTGAACCCGGGAGGTGAAGGTTGCAGTGAGCAGAGATCGCGCCATTGCACTCCAGCCTGGTGACAGAGCAAGACTCCATCTCCAAAAAAAAAAAAAAAAAAAAAAAAATTAGCTGAAATTAACATATCTTTTGTTTTAAACAAAAGAAAAAAAAATTAGCTGAACTTACCAAGAGTTACCTATAAATTTGTTGTATCTATAACCCAGTAATTTCAAGCTTAGACATCTTACCAAAGAATTAAACTTCAGAATAAAGCCTTATGTAAAAATTAGTATTCAGAACATGATTTGGAATAGAAAAATACTGGAAACAAACAAAATAATCAACAATAATGGTTCATTTACAATAGATCTGTCAGCTGAATATTATACACAGTGACTATATAAAGTATTCTCACCAAAAATATTTAACCTAAACTAATCAAGCTCTTACACCTAACTTCTAGTTACCAGAATTCAGGGAGATATATTAAATGACAACATAAGGAAAAAATCAGACAAAGCCAGACTATGTCCGATCTCTTCAAAAAGTTAATGCATCATTTAAAGCAAACAACAACAAAAAACGAAAGAGCTGCTTTAGATTTTTTTTTTTCTTCTTCTTCTTCTTCTTGAGACAGGGTCTCCCCCTCTGTTGCCCAGGCTGGAGTGCAGTGCCACGATCATAGCTCACTGCAGCCTTGACCTCCCAGGCTTAAGCAATCCTACTGCCTCAGCCTCCCAAGTAGCTGTGACTACTTTTTTTTTCTTTTGTAGAGATGGGATTTCACCATGTTTCACAGACTGATTTTAAACTCCTAAACTCAAGCAATCCTTCCACCTCAGCCTCCCAAAGTACCTAGCCTAGATAAGTATTGATTTTTATACATGTGATAATATCATGGTTATGAAGAGAAAAATTGTTACTCTTAGGAGATGCATACTGAAGTATCTAGGCGCAAGTGTCCTGATGTCTACAAATTACTTCAAATGGTTCAGAAAACATGTATTTATGGGTGCGTGGAGATAGGTGTAAAATATGACAAAATGTTAACAATCATATTTTTCTATTATACTAGTCTTTCCATTTGTCTGTTTGAAATGTTATATTATGGGCCAGGTGCGGTGGCCCTTGCCTGTAATCCCAGAACTTTGGGAGGCCGAGGCAGGCAGATCACAAAGTCAGGAGTTTGGCGTAAGACCAGCCTGGCCAACATAGTGAAACTCCTTCTCTACTAAGGATACAAAAAATTAGCTGGGCATGGTGACACATGCCTGTAATCCCAGCTACTACGGAGGCTGAGCGGGGAGAATCACTTGAACCTGGGAGACAGAGGTTGCAATGAGCCAAGATCGTGCCACTGTACTCCAGCCTGCTGTACTCCAGCCTGGGCAACAAAGTGAGACTCCGTCTCAAAAAAATAAAAGAAAATGCTATAAAATTTCGCAAATAAAATAATGGTTGCTAAAAAAAGACTTGTTTTGTAACTTTATTTTGACATAACTTCAATTTACAGACAAACTGCAATATTAAATGGATTCCCACATACTCTTTGCCCAAATTCATCAAATGTTAACACCATGCCCTATTTGTTTATCATTCACATTCGCACACTGATATACACTCTCTCTCAACACATATACGCTTCATTTGTTTAAGCCTTCTGAGAAAAAAAATCACAGATAACATACTCTTTTACTTCAAAATACTTTAGTATATATTTCCTAAAAATAAGGACATTCTCCTATATAATTTCAGGTATATAACTTCAAGACAATTATCAAAATCAGAAATATTGACACAATACTATTATCTTTTTTTTTTTTTTTTAAAGACGGGGTTTCACGATGTTGGTCAGGCTAGTCTTAAACCCCCAACCTCAGGTGATCTGCCCGCCTTGGCCTCCAAAGTGCTTGGATTACAGGCATGAGCCACCACGCCCCGCCTCACAATACTATTATCTAATCTACTTTCCATTAATCAAATGTTACCAATAGTTCAAATAATGTTTTTTGTTTTGTTTTGTTTTGTTTTTGAAACACAGTCTCACTGTGTCGCCCAAGCTGGAGTGCAGTAGTGCAATCTTGGCTCACTGCAACCTCCACCTCCCAGGTTCAAGCGATTCTCCTGCCTTAGCCTCCCAAGTAGCTGAGACTATAGGCCTATGTCACCACACCATGCTAATTTTTTGTATTTTTCAGTAGACACGGGTTTCGCCACATTGCTCCAGCTAGTCTCAAACTCCTGAGCTCAGGCAATCCACCCATCTCGGCCTCCCAAAGTGCTAGGATTACAATGAGCCACCACACTCAGCCCAAATAATGTTTCTTATAATATTTTTTCCCTGATCAGAATCCCAACTGAGGACTATGCGATGCATTTAGTTGTTATTACTCCAGTCTCCATAAGGACTATTTATTTGCACAAGTCATGATAGATTGTTAATCTAAAAAGCAGAATACACTAAATGCAATGTGGATCCAATTTGGATTGGATCCCAAAGATGACATAAGGCATTAATGGAGAAACTAGCAAAATCCAAATGAAGTCTGAAGAGAGTTAATAGTAACATACCAACATTAATCTCTCAGTTTTTGTTTTGTTTGTCTGTTGGTAATAGAGACAGCATCTCCCTGAGTTGCCCAGGCTGCTCCTGAATTCCAAGGCTCAAGGCACCCTCCTGCCTTGGCCTCCCAAAGTGCTGTGATTACAGTGCCAAAAAAATGTACCAAAGAAAGATGGTAATACCCAAAGAAACTCTCTTTGCAATTTTCCTGTGAAGATAATGTCATTCCAAAACAAAAAATTTATTCATTAAAAAGTAGAATATAAAACTAAGTAAAATACACATATATATATAAAAAGACATACAAACCAAATACAGAAATATTTCAGGAACGATTGGGGAACTCTAAATAAGGATGGACTGAAATGAGACAGTATTTAGCAATTTTTGTTAATCTTACTGGAAAAACTAATGGTATTAAAAATATTCTTAGCTGGGCATGGTGGCTCATGCCTGTAATCCTAGCACTTTGGGAGGCCGAGACAGGTGGATCACCTGAGGTCATGAGTTCAAGACCCACCTGGCCAACATGGTGAAACCCCGTCTCTACTAAAAATACAAAAATTAGCTGAGTGTGGTGGCACATGCCTGTGATCCCAGTTACTCAGGACAGTAGAATCACCTGAACCCAGAAGATAGAGGTTGCAGTGAGCTGAGATCATGCCACTACACTCCGGCCTAGGCAAAAACAGCAAAACTCAGTCTCAAATAAATTAATAAAATAAATAAAACTATTTTTTAGCAGCGCATAGTGGTGTGCACCTTAAATCGCAGCTACTTGGGACGCTGAGGCAGGATGATCGTCTGAGTCCAAGGGACAGAGGTTGCAGTGAGCCAAGACTACACTCCAGCCTGGACAACAGAACAAGACTCTGTCTCAGAAATAAATAAATAAATAGGTCAGGAACAGTGGCTCATGCCTGTAATCCCAGCACTTTGGAAGCCCAAGGCGGGCAGATCGCCCGAGGTCAAGAGTTCAAGACCAGCTGGCCAACCTGGTGAAACCCTGTAACCACTAAAAATACAAAATTAGCTGGGTGTGGTGGCGCATGCCTGTAATCCCAGATACTTGGAAGACTGAGACAGGAGAATCGCTTGAATCCAGCAGGCAGAGGTTGCACTGAGGCGAGATCATGCCATTGCTCTCCAGCCTGGGCAAAAAAGCAAAACTCCATTTATTAGTAATAAATAACAAAAATTTAAAAAAAAAAAAAAAACCACACAGAATATTCTTATTTTTTAGAGATGCATACCTAAGGGTGAAATGCCATGCCATGCTCTACTTTGAAATATGTTTTCTAGGCCGGGTGTGGTGGCTCACGCCTGTAATCCAAGCACTTTGGACGCTAAGGCAGGCGGATCACCTGAGGTCGGGAGTTCAAGACCAGAGTGACCAACATGGTGAAACCCCGTCTTAAAAAAAAAAAAAAAAAAGAAAAGGAAATATGTTTTCTTTTTTTTTTTTGAGACGAGTCTCAGTCTATCGCCAGGCTGGAGTGCAGTGTCATGATCTCAGCTCACTGCAACCTCCGACTCTTGGGTTCAAACGATTCTCCTGCCTCCGCCTCCTGAGTAGCTGGGACTACAGGCAAGTGCCACCATGCCCGTCTAATTTTTTTATTTTTAGTAGAGATGGGATTTCGCCATGATGTATACCCAGGTATTTCTTTCTGGTCAGGCAGGGTCAAGTTAGAGGCAGCGCAGGCTCCAAAACGACAAAGATTATCCTCATCCTCCCCCAAACATGCTTTCAGCAAGAAAGCCTGGAGAACCCTTCACCTGCTCAGAAAGCTTCCTCACTTCCTCTAGAATGGAGGCAACAGGCCGACTCCTCTCCCGGCCCCGTGTGAAAGGAACAATGCAGTAGGTACACATGTTGTCACAACCTCGCATGATCGACCTGGGAAAGAAAGTACCAGAACATAGTAACAGTAGAATAGTGTGCTGGTATTACCCAACGAGCAGGCCTCAACTCCCATAGCATTATTCTTTGGCTCTGAATCAATTTGCCACACTGCTCACACTGGACCAATCCAAGATCTAAGCACTAAAGTAGACCTTTTTAATCTTTTTTTTTTTTTTAAGATGGGGTTTTGCCATGTTGGCCAGGCTAGTCTTGAACTCCTGACCTCAGCCGATCCACCCACCTCAGCCTCCCAAAGTGCTAGGTTTACAGGCGTAAGCCATTACACCCGGCTGACCTTTTTAATCTTTAAAAATTGAATCTAATCTCAGAGTATCAACTAAAGCGTAACTGGTGAGAGTAGCTAGCCTGAGGAAGCACAGCGCTGAGGGGCTAGAGTACACATTTACCACACCTGGACTTTCTACTGCTTTTCAATTCTTTTTTCCAGACAGCCTGAATATGTTTGTATCTACTGTTTTTATGAGTATATTAACTGGACTTTTTACATCTAGAGCAGAAAAAATTAAATATTAAAAAGTGTGTGTATATGTGTGCATATAGGGCAAGGAGACCCTGGATTTAAAACACAGGGTTCTGACTGGGCACAATGGCTCACACCTGCAGTCCCAGCACTTTGGAAGGCCAAGGTGGGTGGATCACCTGAGTTCAGAAGTTTGAGACCAGCCTGGTGAAATCCCATTCTATTAGAAATATAAAAAATTAGCCAGGCATGGTGGCGCACACCTGTAATCCCAGCTACTCGAGAGGCTGAGGCCAGGAGAATCACTTGAACCCAGGAAGCAGAGGTTGCAGTGAGCCGAGATCATGCCATTGCACTCCAGCCTGGGCAACAGAGCAAGACTCCTTCTCAAGAAAAAAAAAACAAAAACACAGGGTTCTACATTTCTCACACATTCCTGATCCAACTGCTAGGTATCTAAGTTAAATCACATCTTGCATGTGAAAGCCTCAATCTATCTTAAGGAAATAATTACGGATAGGCATCAAAGATGGTCACTGAAGAATTATATAACAAATGTTAGCTATTATTTTTACTAAGTATTCCAACCAAATATTAGATAGCCATTAAAATAAACAGAGGTTGACAAACTTTTCTGTAAAAAAAAAAGAAGATAATATTTGAGACTTTGCAAGCTATATAGTCACTGTCACAACTATGTAACCTTGCTTTAGTGGCAAAAGCAGCCAGAGGCGATTTGTAAATAAATGGGCATGCTTGTATTCCAATAAAACTTTATTTACAAAAAGAGATGATAAGCTATTCGGCAACCTCTGTTATAGAAAATTTAATGCCATGGCCAGGTGCACTGGCTCACCCCTATAATCCCAGGATTTTGGAAGGCTGAGGCAGGAGGATCACCTGAGCTCAGGAGTTTGAGACCAACCTGGGCACTATAGTAAGACCCTATCTCTGTAAAAATTCAAAAAAAATTAGCCAGGTGTGGTGGTGCACACCTGTAGTCCCAGCTACTCGGGGAACTAAAGCAAGAGCCCAGGAGTTCAAGGCTGCAGTGAGCACTGATCATGCCACTGCACTCCAGCCTGGGCAACAGACACAGTGAGATCCTGTCTCAAAAATAAATAAATAAAAGTGTGAAAGAAAGAAGCTTATTCCCCTTCTCTTGGGCAGTGACTCACACAAAGGCAGATGTGGCACTGGGGCTTGTCTGGACTGGCATGACATCAGCATAGGTCTCGTCCAGAGAGAGCAGCACGTTGGCGGCTTGCTGGCCCGACTCAGCAACAGCCAGCAATCGGGGAAGGTCCCGATACGCATCAGGTCCAGCCAAAACATCTACCATTTTCTCCCTGTTGAGGATCTCCTCCTTCAACCTCTCAGCCATGCAGCCTGGAAGGGAAAAAGAAACAAGTACCTTTTCCCAAATTCATCTGGTATTTAATGGCTTATCACACATCATGCCTATCTGGAATTAAAGACCAGGGCACAGAAAACTTCTCTAAGAATGTAGTATCAATGTTCAAATTTAAACAATCCCATAGCACTGGAGCCTGTATCTTACTTTATAAGAAAACCACAGGAAAGGGTTCCAGAGCAACTCAATTAAACACCCAGAAAAAATTAAACCACTGGCCAGGCACAGTAGTTCACACCTATAATCCCAGCACTTTGGGAGGCCAAGGAGAGAGGATCACTTGAGCCCAGGAGTTCAAGATCAGCCGTGGCAACATAGTGAGACTCTGTCTCTACAAAAAATGAAAAAAATCAGTCAGGACTGGTGGCACGTGCCTGCAGTCCCAGCTACTCAGGAGGCTGAGGCAGGAGGATTGCTTGAGCCTGGGAGGTTGAGGCTACAGTGAGCCATGATCACACCACTGCACTCCAGCCTGGGCAACAGACTGAAACCTTGTCCCAAAAAAAAAAAAAAAAGAAATAAAGGAAATTCTGACACAGGCTACAATACGTGACCTCATGAACCTTGAGGACATTATGATAAGCCAAACAAGCCAGTTACAAAAAAGACAACAGTGTATGGTCCGACTTACATGAGTTATCTAGAGTAGTCAAATTCATAAACAGAAAGTAGAATGATGATTGCCAGGGGTTGAGGGAGGAGGCATGGTAAGTGAATGTTCAATGGATACGTAATCTCAGTTTGGGAAGAGAAAAAAGTCCTGAAGATGGACGGTGGTGATGGGTGCAGAATAATGTGAATATACTTAGTTCCATAGAAATATACAATTAAAAAGGATTAAAATGGGAATTTCAAATATATTTTACTACAATTTTTTTTTTGAGATGGAGTCTCCTTCTGTTGCCAGACTGGGTGCAGTGGCACAATCTCGGCTCATTTCAACCTCTGCCTCCCGGGTTCAAGAGATTCTCCTGACTAGCCTCCCGAGTAGCTGGGACTACATGTGTGTGCCATCAGGCCCAGCTAATTTTTGTATTTTTAGCAGAGACAGGGTTTCACCATGTTGGCCAGGATGCTCTCAATCTCTTGACTTTGTGATCCACCCACCTTGGCCTCCCAAAGTGCTGGGATTACAGGCATGAGCCACCACACCCGGCCAATTGTTTTTAATTACTCTTGGGATTTCTGAAATTCTTAGTAGATATACACCCAGAGGCTTCTATAATGAAGAAACTGAAATGGAACAGAACATTTCAACTAACCCTTCCATCCTCCTGCATCAGTTACTACACGGATCTGATAACTGAATATGAAAGATTAATTTAACTATTCCACAATGGAAACAGTCTGTTTTCCACAAGGTTAAATATATTAACTAAATTCTGAGATAGAAGAGGGTACCAACTATTTATTTTTGAAATATGTCTCTCAGTCATCTAGATCAGAACTGCGCAACCTAACTTTCTAATAAAACGATAGGCCTGGTGCAGTGGCTCACACCTATAATCCCAGCACTCTGGGAGACTGAGGCAAGGAATCACACTTCAGCCCTGTAAGTTCAAGAGCAGCCTGGGCAACTCAGTGAGACCCTGTTTCTACAAAAGGTCAAAAAATTAGCTAACTGTGGTGGTGTACACCTGTAGACCTCACTACGCAGGAGGCTAAGGTGAGAGGACCACTTGAGCCCAGGAGTGGGAGGCTGGGCTGCACTGTGCCATGATTGTGCCACTGCACTCCAGTCTGCACAACAGCTCGAGACCCTGTTTCAAAAAAAAAAAGGATGAGAGTGTGCTGAATGGGAAAATAACTGTCCTATCCCAACTGGTAGCCCTTAGTCATGTGGCAATTGAGCAGTTGAAACGTGGCTAATGGGACTAAAGAAGCGAATTTTAAATTTTATTTAATTATAGGTGAATTTAAATAACCACATGTGGCTAGTGGCTACCATATTGGTGAGGCAGACCTAAATCATCACTTGGGCTTGCTTCAGGAGTCAGGATGAAAGGTGCCCACATTAGAAATTCATACTGTCAAGCCGAGAGCAGTGGCTCGCGCCTGTAATCCCAGCACTTTGGGAGGACCAAGGTGGATGGATCACTTGAGGTCGGGAGTTCGAGACTAACCTGACCAGCATGGAGAAACCCCCTCTCTACTAAAAATACAAAATTAGCCAGGTGTGGTGTGCATGCCTGGAATCCCAGCTACTGGGGAGGCTGAGGCAGGAGAATCGCTTGAACCTGGGAGGCGGAGGTTGTGCTGAGCCCAGATCACACCATTGCACTCCAGCCTGGGCAAAAGGAGTGAAACTCCATCTCAATAAAAAAGAAATTCATGCTGGCCCTTCAGACTCCAACTCTATCCATAACTCTGTGCTACCATAAGCTGCATTAGACTCTAGATAGGATATCCCACTTTCTGAGCACCTATTACTTTAAGGAACTATGGAAAGCCCTTTCATGAACTTTATCTCATTTAATCCTGTAGCCTCTGGCATTAAGTACAAGAATTGTATGGGGTATATAAGATTTCTTCAGACACTGGGAATCTAGCCTCTAACGGAAACACTAGCAAATAAAGCCACATAAAGTCCAAGTTTCAAAACTGACAAAATCTGCAAATTACCAGATACCTAGAATCCCAATCCTCAGAGGAACCCGGGAGCGGAGCCGCCTTGTCTTCAAGACTTTAAGCTGATGTAAACGGTTCCAGATGGTCTGCTCAGCCTTCTCCCTACAGAGATGAGAAGAGGCAAAACTGTACCAAAAATAAACCACAGAGCAATCTAAGAGAGTAGGACAATGGGAAGAAAATAACAACCACCTTCAGCCCTTTAAATCAAGCTTTTCCAACCTGAGATGTTTATGAGATTTTCTTCTTTTTTTAGCTCATCAGCTACCATTAGTCTAAGTACCTTACATGTGGGGCAAGACAATTCTTCTTCCAATGTGGCCCAGGAAAGCCCCAATGGAACAGCCTTGCCTTAGATGTGTATTGGCCAGCCCTGCCTTAAACATATATCTACCGTTTGGACTTAGGGAAGGTAGGTAGGGGCCACCTGAAGAAGCAACACTTGCTATAATTCACCTTTTCTAGAATAGCACCCTTCCTGCACATCTTCAAATCCGGACAAGCCTTTAAGCCAAGCTCAGAAACAATCTACCTCAAAAAGCCTCCCCCAACTCTCCTCTGGGGGAGAGTTTGTCCTCTCTTTAGCTGTCCTTCAACTTTTTTTTTTTAATGATTCCAGATCCTAATGCCCTTCTACTTTAACTAGACTTTTTCCTGTACTTAGTAATTTCTTTCTTTTTTTTTTTTTTTTTTGAGATGGAGTCTCACTCTCTGTCACCAGGCTGGAGTGCAGTGGCGCGATCTCAGCTCACTGCAACCTCCAACTCCCTGGTTCAAGCAATTCTCCTGCCTCAGCCTCCTGAGTAGCTGGGATTACAGGCGACTGCCACCATGCCCAGCTAATTTTTGTATTTTTGGTAGAGACAGAGTTTCACCATGTTGGCCAGGCTGGTCTCGAACTCCTGACCTAGTGATCTGCCTGCCTCGGCCTCACAAAGTGCTGAGATTACAAGCCTGAGCCACCGCACCTGGCCAGCAATTTCTCTTTTATTTTTCTTTGTAGATGCAGGGTCTCACTCTGTTGCCCAGGCTGGTCTTGAATGGCTCACTGCAACCTTGAACTCCTGGACTCAAGTGATCCTCCTACCTCAGCCTCCCAGAGTGCTGGGATTATAGGTGTGACCCACTGCACCCAGCCTCATTGTCTGATTTTTTAAAATAATATTTTCTGCCTGATGTTGGAGCTATTTGTTCATCTAACTAAGCTCCTTAAAGCCAGGCCATGGAAAAAGGGTTCATTTCTGAATCACCCAAAGCACAGAGTTCAGTGTCAAGCGGCAGAGGCTTACAGAAGAAAAATATCTGATGAATTAATTGATGGTATAGCCGATTATGAAAACATTAACATTAGCATGTCTTGAATACAGAAACAAAGTGAGAAAGAAGGTATGTTCACCTCAATGGATGTCATACATCTCTATTCAGAACTCTCTCCCCGAGCCTACAACTGCATCCTACCCCAGGCAGCTACATTAAAAACAGATGACATTAGTTACAAAAGAAAGCTCAGGAAGAGCTGGGTGGCTCAGCACATTCTTGGTTTCCTCATCTTATAACAGCACCAACCACACAGGGTTGTTGTGATCATTAAATTTGTTAATCCACTCAGAACCTGGTACATGCTCAGCAGATGTCAGCCAATTGTACACAGACTATCTCCACTGCGGGAAAACTGCAAGTCCTACTGCCATGGGGCCACTGGCTCATCTCCACAGACAGGCAGGCCAGGCACAGTTAGCTCTGGCATTGCAACATAAGCTCTGGCATTATTATGTAAGATACATTCACTCCTAGGAAAAGAACAAATTCGTACCTGATAGAACACGTGACAAGGAGAATCACATCTGCCTGAATGCAGAAAAAGGAAAACAAGAAAAATTACAGTCTTGGAAATTAGCCTTGTACAATCCCTGTCTATAGCTCTTTATTATTATTTTTCTTTTTTGTTGTTTCTTTTTTTCTGAGACAGAGTCTCACTCTGTTGCCCAGGCTGGAGTGCAGTGGAGCAATCTCGGCTCACTGCAACCTCTGCCACCCAAACAGTTCAAGTAATTCTTGGGCCTCAGCCTCCTGAGTAGCTGGGATTACAGGCATCCACCACCATGCCCAGCCAATTTTTGTATTTTTAATAGAGATAGGGTTTCACCATCTTGGCCAGGCTGGTCTCGAACTCCTGACCTCAAGTGATCTACCCACCTTGGCCTCTCAAAGTCCTGGGATTACAGGCGTTAGCCACTGTGCCTGGCCTATTATTTTTCTTCAACTATTTTTTTCCTTTCCTTTTTTTTTTTATAGAGAAAGGAGTCTCACTCACTTGCCCAGGTTGAAGAGCAATACCATAACCATAGCTCACTGCGGCCTCGAACTGCTAGCTTCAAGAAATCCTCCTGCCTCGGCCTCCCAAAGTGCTGGGATTATAGGCGTGGTGACCTACACCTGGCCATTTTTTTTTTTTTTTTTTTGAGACGGAGTTTCGCTCTTGTTACCCAGGCTGGAATGCAATGGCGCGATCTCGGCTCACCGCAACCTCCGCCTCCTGGGTTCAGGCAATTCTCCTGCCTCAGCCTCCTAAGTAGCTTGGATTACAGGCACATGCCACCATGCCCAGCTAATTTTTTGTATTTTTAGTAGAGACGGGGTTTCACCATGTTGACCAGGATGGTCTCGATCTCTTGACCTCGTGATCCACCCGCCTCGGCCTCCCAAAGTGCTGGGATTACAGGCTTGAGCCACCGCGCCCGGCCCATCTTAATCATTTTTAAGTGTACAGTCAATTAAGAACATCTATCTGCGAGCCAGGCGCGGTGGCTCAAGCCTGTAATCCCAGCACTTTGGGAGGCTGAGGCGGGTGGATCACGAGGTCGAGAGATCGAGACCATCCTGGTCAACATGGTGAAACCCCGTCTCTACTAAAAATATAAAAAACTAGCTGGGTGTGGTGGCGCATGCCTGTAATCCCAGCTACTCAGGAGGCTGAGGCAGGAGAATTGCCTGAACCCAGGAGGCGGAGGTTGCGGTGAGCCGAGTTCGCGCCATTGCACTCCAGCCTGGGTAACAAGAGCGAAACTCCGTCTCAAAAAAAAAAAAAAAAAGAACATCTATCTGCAATTTCATACCTACGCATTTTCTGTAACTGTTTCATCTTCCACAACTAAAACTCTATGCTCATTTAAACAGTAACTCTCCAACTTCCCTCCTCACAGCAAATCTTAGCTGAGCTCCTTGCCTGAAGGTGCACATCACCGTAACAGTTTCAAAAATAGCTGGAACAAAAGTACAACTCAGTCCCATCGTGAACACTTCACCCAAGGGTGTACTCTCTCACCAGGTGGCACTCTGCTCCTGAAACTGCACCTAAGAGCTGGCCCAAATGCAGAATCTTGCCCAGGTCCAGAAAACAAAGGAAAGAGGAAATGCATGTACCTCTTGGAGGTTACTGGTCCGCAGGTAGCCACTCTTCTGTAAGATGGACCAAGCTATCTCTGTGTCATTCACATTCATCTGGCAGCCATAGGTCTCGAGGTAGACTGTAGTAAGAGGTTGGGAGGATTCCATGGTAGACAGACAACAAGGGACCTCATGTCTCAAAAAGTCTCCTTCCCAAATGCTCTAGAAATACCTGAAGCATCTGGTTATCCACTAAGTCCCCTATTGCCTCAATGCTAAGATAACATAAATTGCCAGATATACTCCCAAATGAATGATAGACTTTCAGAACAAAAGAAATTAGGCTGGGTACAGTGATTCATGCCTTAATCCCAGCACTTTGGGAGGCTCAAACAGTAGTATTTACTAGAGCCCAGGAGTTTGAGAGCAGCCAGGGCAACATAGGGAGAGCTTGTCTCTGCAAAAAATTTAAAAATTAGCCAGGTATGATAGTACATGCCTGTGGTCCCAGCTACTCAGGAGGCTGAGGCAGGAGAACTGCTTGAGCCCAGGAAGCTGATGCTGCAGGGAGCCATGGTCACAACACTGCACTCAGCCTGGGCAACACAGTGAGACCCTATCTCAAACAAAAAAAATACCACATTATATACACACACCAATTATAAACCATGTTATTTTTTAAATGAGGAAAACATGTAGCTGAGGATCAAGGATATATGGTTATAAAAACAATTAGAAAAGGAAGGACTAGGCCAGGCGCAGTAGCTCACGCCTAAAATCCCAGAACTTTGGGAGGCCAAGGCAGGCAGATCCCTTGAGGTCAAGAGTTTGAGACCAGCCTGGCCAACATGGTGAAACCCATGTCTCTACTAAAAATACAAAAATTAGCCAGGCGAAGTGGCACGCACCTATAATTCCAGCTACTCAGGAGGCTGAGGCAGGAGAATTGCTTGAACCCAGGAGGTAGAAGTTGCAGTGAGCTGAGATCATGCCATTGCACTCCAGCCTGGGTGACAGAGTGAGACTCTGTCTCAAAAAGAAAAGAAAAGAACAGGAAAGACAAGCTGATAGTGTTCATCAGTCTGAAGGGAAAGTAAGTTTAAACCCACATGTTACACTCCTTATCAAAATGAAGAGGTTCTCCAGCCTCTGGAAGCAACAGCAGTGGGCAGAGGGTACATAAAGCCACAAAATTATAACGAGGTGGTTTTTTTTTTTGTTTTATTTGTTTGTTTGTTTGTTTTTGACAGAGTCCTGCTGTGTCGCCAGGCGCCAGGCTGGAGTACAGTGGCGCGATCTTGACTCACTGCAACCTCCGCCTCCGGGGTTCAAGATTCTCCTGCCTCAGCCTCCAGAGTAGCTGGGACTACAGGCACGCGCCACCATGCCCAGCTAATTTTTTCTTATTTTTTTTGTATTTTAATAGAGACAGGGTTTCACTATGTCGCCCTGGATGGTCTCGATCTCTTGACCTTGTGATCCACCCACCTCGGCCTCCCAAAGTGCTGGAATTATAGACGTGAGCCACCACACCTGGCCAATGAAGCATCTTCTTACGGTAGCTTCATCTTAAATGAAAGCAAGGCTATATTATGAAGTAAAACAAATTTTGCACACAGTTATAAGAACATGAATTTCACATTCTAGCAGCTTCAAACTATATTCCACCTCGTCCCCACCAGCAAGCCTTATTTCCAGACACCAATAAATTCCAACTAAAAGTTAAGAGCTGAATGATAATCAGCTTTTGCTCAAATGATTCTCCCACCTCAGCCTCCTGAGTAACTAGGACTATAGGTGTATGCTACCATACCCGGTTAATTCTTTATTTTTTGTACAGACAGTGTTTCACCATGTTACCCAGGCTGTTCTTGAACTCCTGGGCTCAATCCACCCATCTCAGCCTCCCAAAGTGCTGAGATTACCGGCATGAGCCACCATGCCCAGCCGAGTTTCTTAATATTACTTGGTGGAGTCTGATGATTCCCACAGCCTCCTCACACCGTTAACCCTCCAAGCCAGGTCTGTAATAAAAGAATCACGCCAGGACTTCCAGAAAGGAGCAAGGCAGGAAGCCTAAAGGGATAAGAAAAGTAAAACCAACCTTTTCTCTGACTTCCTAAAAGTTCATCCTTCATGAGATAGGGGGGTGGGTCTTCCATTTCTGAAGACAGCTTCTCTTGAGGAGCTGAGGCACTTCTTAAAAAATGTTGCAAAGTTGGTCCTGTGGCCAGCCTGGAGCTGAAATCCTTCCGAGCTCCATCCTCCTGCCTCTCTGGATTGGGACACGTGGTACTAGAGAGACTGCTGTGTGCCGTGCACATCCTCAGTGACAGCCAAGACACAGAGGCCATTGGCCCCCACCTCAGAGACCTCTGCACTTGGAGGGCACACTGTAAAGAATGCATGGCACTAAACAGTCACGGTCTGCAAAAGAATGGTAGACATCACCAGCGTTTATTGAACACTGTGGACTGGATACTGCTCAGAGCACTTCAAGTGTATACATTCATTTACCCCTCACAAAAGCCTATGAAGAAGGTACTCCTAATAACATTCGCTCTATTTTACAGCTGAAAAAACTGAGGCAACTTGCCCAAGACCACAAAAAGGAGTGGCAGAGATGAGATGCACATCCAGGCAGCGTTTTCAAAGCAAGGAGTGGCAGAGATGAGATGGAAAGCCCAGACAAAACAGCACCTTGTGCCAAGAACAGTTCCCAAGGCTTTAAGTGTATTCACTCATTAAATCTTTACAGCAATCCTAGGAAACAGACGCTATTATTGTTCCTATTCCAAAAGACACAGGTTGAGGAACTCACTTAAGCTCCTATAGCCAGTAAGCAGTCAAACAAGGACTCAGATAAAAATCTGTATGGATGCAAAGACCATGCCAATATCCGTCCTGCTACCCTGCCTCTTAATACTGTGAAAACCACTCATTGCCTAAAGGTATCTTCCTTCAATTTCCTTCAGAAGGAAAGCATCTAATGTGGGGGCACTGTATGCCTGATCAGTGACTCCTACCCTTCAAAAGTCTCACCCAGGCACAGCCACTCATGCCTACAATCCCAGAACTTTGGGTGGCTGAGGTGGGTGGATCACTTGAGGTCAGGAGTTCAAGACCAGCCTGGCCAACATGGCAAAACCCCATTTCTACAAAAATACAAAAGTTAGCCAGGCGTGGTGGTATGTGCCTGTAATCCCAACTACTCAGGAGGCTGAGGAAGTGAGCTAAGATTGCACCACTGCACTCCAGCCTGGGCAACAGAGAGAGACACTGTCTCAAAAAAAAAAAAAAAAAGAGGCCGGGAGCAGTGGCTCATCCTGTAATCCCGGCACTTTGGGAGGCCTAGGCGGGTGGATCACCTGAGATTGGGGAGTTCAAGACGACCAGCCTGACCAACATGGAGAAACCCCATCTCTATTAAAATACAAAATTAGTCAGGCGTGGTGGCATATGCCTGTAATCCCAACTACTCAGGAAGATGGGGCAGGGGAATCGCTTGAACCCGAGAGGCAGAGGTTGCGGTGAGCCAAGATGGTGCCATTCCACTCCAACCTGGGCAACAAGAACGAAACTGTCTCAAAAAAAAAAAAAAAAGAAATGGAATATGCAACCTAGATCACTTGCATACACGCAGTTCACAGTAGGATTTGTGTTCCTATGAGAATCTAATGCCACGGCTGATCTGACAGGAGACAGAGCAGTAATGCCAGCTTGCTGCTCACCTCCTGCTGTGTAGCCAGGTTCCTAACAGCCCATGGACAAGTCTATAGCCTGGGTTTCGGGGACCCCTGCTATACAGGTGTAATGAGCAGATGTGGCCCATTACCTTTCCAATGTGATCACCTGCCACATATGCTACTAGCACTTAGGAGCAATGCCAACCCAGTTTCAAGCGTCAGAGAAGGGCAGCCTTATAGTGTGAGCTTTAAAGTCACCCATTTCTCCTCCGTAACTGCTGGGTGACCTTTGGCAAATTTCTGTCTCTAAGCCACCAATTCAACATGTGTAAACTAAGGATAAAAGTAACACCTACCCCCCAGAAGTGTTATAAAAATAAGATCTTAAAAACCCAACTTGAGATACAGTAAGCATTCAGTAACTGCACATTCACAGCCGACACCCCCTTTCATAGGAAGCATTAGAGCATCCTGGTTAAAAGTATAGACTCTACTAGAAATACAAAAATTAGCTGGCCGTGGTGGCATGCGCCTGTAATCCCAGGTACCCAGGAGGCTGGGGTAGGAGAATCGCTGGAACCGGGAAGGCAGAGGCTACAGTGAGCCGAGATCACGTCACTGCACCCCAGCCTAGGCGACAGAGCAAGACTCCGTCTCAAAAAAAAAAAAAAAAAAAAAACCGTATGGACCCTAGACTCTAGGGCCTAGAGTCAGTATCTAACCCCACTGCTGCCAAGCCAGGTAAACCTTAGGCACCTGTCTTAAACTCTGGGAGCCTCGAAATGGGGACAATAGCAGCTATCTCCATAGGCCTACTGTGGGATCAAATCCAATAACACAAGCAAAATGCTTTGCATAACACAGTGTAGAAGCCTCTCTGGGGGCTCGAAGTTAATTCTGACAGTCGGCAATGAGGATGGAATAGCCTACAACATGCCAAATACTTTTCTGGCTTGTTGCAATGTGTTAGGTATGGTGCAAAGCATTTTCCGCGAATTGCTAGCTAAAACTCTCACAGCAACCCTGCGAAGGAGGCTGAACTGCCACCCCCACTCCCCGGGGGCAAGGCGAAGCCTTGGGAGAAGTGGGGTGACCTGTCCAAGGTCACACGGGGTTAGGCGGCGGGGTTAGGGTAGGAACCCCGACGGCCCGACGCCAGGTCCCACGTCGTAACCACCGTCCCATCCTCCCTTTGGAACACCGCGCGCTTCCCGGGATCCGCGGCCCCTCCTGCCCCAAGCGCCAGTCAAAAGCGGGTGCGCAGCCCACCCCGGCTGGCGCGCCACTCACCTCCTGCAGCAGCAGCAGCAGCAGCAGCACCCGAGGTCCCGCAGCAGAAATTCTGCTGGCAAGCCGACTCACCTCAGCGGTCCGCCGCGGCGCCCATACACAAGCGACTTCCGTTCCTCCGCTATTTCAGGCCCGGTCAAGCTAACGGAAGTGCTTCCTTTTTACAGTCCGGGTGGACGCAAAGCTCCGTGGCGGCACTGAGCCTTAGGGCAGCCACTAGCCTGGGACTTAGGCGGCAACTGAGCGCCTCAAAGGGGGTGAGTGCAAATCAAATGTGCGCTAAATGTAAGATGCACCAGATGTGGAAGAAGAAATGTCAAGTCGTTCATATATAATGTTTGTATTGATTATGTGTTGCAATGATTATCGGCATATATTGGGTTAAATAAGCACATTCGTTGAATTAATTTTTATTTGTAGCTACGGTGGTAGAAATATTTGAATTAAGTTCACCTGTTTCGCCGGGCGCGGTGGCTCAAGCCTGTAATCCCAGCACTTTGGGAGGCCGAGGCGGGTGGATCACGAGGTCGAGAGATCGAGACCATCCTGGTCAACATAGTGAAACCCCGTCTCTACTAAAAAAAAAAAATACAAAAAATTAGCTGGGCATGGTGGCGCGTGCCTGTAATCCCAGCTACTCAGGAGGCTGAGGCAGGAGAATTGCCTGAACCCAGGAGGCGGAGGTTGCGGTGAGCCGAGATTGAGCCATTGCACTCCAGCCTGGGTAACAAGAGCAAAACTCCGTCTCAAAAACAAAAAAAAAAACAAAACAAAACAAAAAGTTCACCTGTTTCTTTTCACTTTTTTTTTTTTTTTTGAGATGGAGTTTCACTCTTGTTTCCCAGGCTGGAGTGCAATGGCGCGATCTCGGCTCACCGCAACCTCCGCCTCCTGGGTTCAGGCAATTCTCCTGCCTCAGCCTCCTGAGTAGCTGGGATTACAGGCACACGCCACCATGCCCAGCTGATTTTTTGTATTTTTAGTAGAGACGGGGTTTCACCATGTTGACCAGGATGGTCTCGATCTTTCGACCTCGTGATCCACCCGCCTCGGCCTCCCAAAGTGCTGGGATTATGGGCGTGAGCCACCGCGCCCGGCCCCCAGGTTTTCTTATCTGTGAAACTGAGATAACTGTGCCCACTATATAGGCATATGGTGAGGATCCAATAAGATAATGTGTGCACAGCGTGCGGAAGATCACATTCTCCGTATGTTGCCATGGCTGGGGCAAGAAGGGAAGTGGCCACTGTGCCATTCTTGTTTTTCTTTTTCTTTTTTTTCTTTTCTTTTTTTTTTTTTTTCGAGACTGAGTTTCACTCTGTAGCTTAGTCTGAAGTGCAATGGCATGATCTTGGCTCACTGCAACCTCTGCCTTCCAGGTTCAAGTGAGTCTCCTGCCTCTGCCTCCCAAGCAGCTGGCACTACAGATGCATGCCACCCACCTGGCTAATTTTTGTATTTTTAGTAGAGACAGGGTTTCACCATGTTGGCCAGGCTGCTCTCGAACTCCTGACCTTAAGTCAGGCATCCCCAAACTACGGCCCGCGGGCCGCATGCGGCCCCCTGAGGCCATTTATCCGGCCCCCGGCGGCACTTCAGGAAGGGGCACCTCTTTCATTGGTGGTCAGTGAGAGGAGCACAGTATGTGGCGGCCCTCCAACGGTCTGAGGGACAGTGAACTGGCCCCCTGTGTAAAAAGTTTGGGGATGCCTGCCTTAAGTGATCCACCCGCCTCAGCCTCCCAAAGGGCTGGGATTACAAGCGGGAGCCACCACACCCAGCTCACCATCCCATTCTTAAAAGGGGTCCAAGGCCAGGCATAGTGGCTCCTGCCTGTAATCCTAGCACTTTAGGAGGCTGAGACAGGAGGATTGCTTGAGCTCAGGAGTGTGAGACCAGCCTGGGCAACATGGCAAAACCCCATCTCTACAGGAAATTAAAAAATAAAAAAATTAGCCAGCCATGGTGGCACATGCCTGTAGTCCCAGCAACTTAGGAGACCAAGATAGGAGGATCACTTAAACCTGGGAGGCCGAGGCTTGCAGTGAGCCAGGATCCCACAGTTGCACTCCAGCCTGGGCAACAAAGCAAGACCACATCTCAAGAACACTTCACAGGGTGTTCCAAGTGAAGGCACCAGACTGCTGATGGCCAGAAGGAAAATGAGTGAGTCTTTGGTGGTTTGGGATATTGCTGAAACTTTAGTGGATAAGCTAAGAAAGTTTCATTTTCACAAAGAAAGAAAGAATGCTGCCATTATAAATAAGCTAAAAGTGATTGCCTCAAAGTTAGGTTATCTGGTCTTTTTTTTTTTTTTTGAGGCAGAGTCATGCTCTGTGGCCTAGGCGGGAGTGCAGTGGCGCGA